CCAGCGCCATTCCCCAAAACGAATCTGGTAACCTCGAATAACTCATCATAGATCTAACCATCTCCATAAGTGTCCTATTTCTTCGCTCTGCAACCCCGTTCTGCTGGGGCGTGCCGGGTGCAGTCAGTTGGGATTCAATCCCAGCTTCCGATAAGTATGTCCTGAACTCTCCAAAAAGGTATTCGCCACCTCGATCAGAACGAAGTGACTTGATACATTTACCATGAAGCTTCTCCACAACTGCCCGATACTCCTTGAATTTCTCAAAGCATTCGGACTTGCGGTGCAACAGATAAACGTACCCAAATCTCGAGTAATCATCTATGAAAGACACATAGTACTCGAAACCTCCTCTAGCCTGGATCGACATAGGACCACACAAATCAGAATGAATCAATCCTAGCACTTCTTGGCTCCTATACCCCTTTGCCGTAAACGGCCTCTTGGCCATCTTACCTTCTAGGCATGATTCGCAAGTTGGATAGTGCTCTTCCAATGGACCGAGATGTCCACTGGCCACTAACTTTTGAATCCTCCTAAGGTTGATGTGTCCAAGTCTAAGGTGCCACAGATATGCTTGATTCATCTGCGAAGACTCCTTCCTCTTATTAGATGTAGTTATGACATTATTCAATTCATTATGTTGCACTGTGGGAGAGTTCGGTTTGAGAACATATAAATTGCCAACTAATGAACCACAACATATGAAACGATTTTCAAAACGAATAATAACCATGTCATCAAACGAAACTGAAAAACCATCCATAACGAGTTTAGAAACTGAAACAAGGTTCTTTCTAAAACTAGGAACATAAAGGCAATTTCTCAAAACCAAACTACTACTATCGAACGATAAAGTAACGTCTCCCACTGCAACAGCCGCCACTTTCGTAGCATTGCCCATGTAGACGGTGATCTCTCCCTCCCTAAGTCGCTTGGTTTCCTGGAACCCCTGCAAAGAATTGCAGACATGATCAGTGGCTCCAGTATCTACACACCAGGTTCTGGTAGATACAACCGCTAAACATGTTTCTACGACATTAACGAGAGAGTTACCTTTCTTGAGGAGAGGGCAATCGACCTTCCAGTGTCCTGACTTATTGCACTTGTGGCATCTTCCTTTCGGTTTCTTTGCCACAGCCTGAGGGGTCGGTCGTGGGTAAACCGGAGCATCCTGTGCCTTCACCTTTCCTGCAGACTTCTTTCTCTTCCTGCCCTTGTGAGGCCTGGAAGGTCCAGCCTGCTCGGCGACTAGCACCTGAGGTGCTTGAGTGAATAAGGCCTCCGCCGACTGAAGCTCTGCAAGCAGTTCTGGAAGAGCCATATGCATCTTGTGCATGTTGTAGTTCAACCGGAACTGATCAAAGCTCTTCGGCAGAGATTGGAGCATAATATCAACCTGGGTTTCCCCGTCAATATAACCTCCCATAACCTCAAGCTCATTGAGCTGCGCCATAACCCTGAGAGCATGCTCCCTTACGGGTGTGCCCTCGGCCATGCGCGTACTCATCAGAGCACTCAAAGCCTCTTGCCTAGCAGCCCTAGACTGATGTCCGAACAGATCCCTGAGATTGAGAAGTATATCTGCTGCAGTGTCCTTAGACTGATGCTGATGTTGAAGAACATTCGACATAGAAGCCAGAATGTAACACTTCGCCATCTCATCAGCCTTCTTCCACCGAGCATACTCCTCTTTCTCCTGCTCAGGAGCATCAGCCGCCGGCACCGCCGGGCAAGCATCAGTGATAGCAAACTTATAACCCTCAGCAGTCAACACTATGTCTAAGTTCCTCTTCCAATCAATGTAATTAGGACCAGTAAGCTGATTTTCTTTTAGAATGACAGACAACGGATTGAACGACATGATGAATATCCTGAGAATCATGCAAATAAATTTTACAGATTAAACACTTTTGAATTTAACTGTTAATATTGATATCCTCAAAACAACATTAACTTAAATCCACCGACATCTATTACACCTTGTGAGAATGCATGCTACGAGGGTCGCCCTACAAACTCGCATTTTGTAAGAGAAGGGCTTTTCTAAGGCCCATTAATTTCCATAAGTCAAAACCAAATTCATGACGAACGAAATTAATAGTCGGTCTCCATTTGGCCATGCAATAGAATTCAGGGACCCCGAGGGGGGTTAATAAATTTAATCGCATTCTAAGTGAATCCCATTTCTCGGTCCTAAGGTCGTCAAATTTGATTATACGTCATCCGAGGGGAAGCCCGTACGCTCTCATAAGATTTCCTCTAACCGTCTACTTTTAGAAATTTGTCCTGGTAATTTCCTACAATTAATTTTAGCAATGTCACCCGAGGGGGAGCCCATAACCGCAATTAATTGATTTACCGACAAATTAGAAATGGAGGCCTTAGGAATTTTACAATTAACTTTAATTTAAAATCCCTTCTCAAACTTAGTATAATTTAATGAGGATTTTTAACTATTTATACAATTCCAAATTAATCTATGTTAATGCAATAATTAATTAACATGCATATTAATTCATGCAATTCTAAATTAATCTATGTCAATGCAATAATTAATTAACATGTTCAATAATTTATGCAATTCTAAATTAATCCATGCCAGTGCAATAATTAATTACATGCATAATTTATTGACACAATTCTAAATTAATTCTATGCATTACATAATTAATTAACATGCATAATTAATCTAGCAATACTAAATTAATCCCATGCAAGAACATAATTAATTAACATGCATAAATAATAATTTAATGGCATAATAAATTTAATTAAATAAATAAATAAATCCACTATTATGGCCATTAAATATTGAGTCTCCTTAAACAAGGAAACTGTGACAGTTCTTTTCCCTGTTCAACTGGAACTCCTTTAAGCAGTAGAATCCTGGTTGATCTTGTACTGCTTGGACAAGAAGGCAAAACCTCTCCACCTCCTGCAGCCAACCGCCGACTGCCGCCTGGCTGCCGCCCGGCCGCCGGCCGCCGCCGCCAGTGGTCGGAAAAACGCGCCGTTTCCCTCTTTTTTTTTTCTAATTCTTCGAGGCTCGTTGATCTCTTGTGATCTCCCGGTTATCAACACACGATCACAACACGAAAAATATAATTTACAAAATTACATAATTCGATCCTAGATCCAACGAATGGATGTACATGTTTTCTAAACAAATAATTAAATCTATCCGGTCAACCCCCGGGCGAATAATTATTACAAACATTCATCCATAAATTCCTCGACATGCCCGAGGCTTTAAAAACAAATTTAAAACCATACATCACATTCAACAACATTCATCAAACACATAATCGGCCATAATAGTGGATTAACTATTTTCCTGCAAAACCGAGTTATGCAAATATAATCCAATATATGGCTGCGTTTGAACACATCTTGTCAAATAAAGCCGTAAAAATTCGAACTTTGTACAAAACGAATTAACCAAGTGCTCTGATACCACTTGTTGGGATCTGTGAGGATCTCGTTATGTACAAATCACGAATTCAATAGCAAACGTAAACCTATGCGCAGCGGATCTAAAGGTTTGACGTAGAGAACTTACGGCTTAAAATTTATGTAGATCTGGTTGACCACGAACGGTTGACCGCAATTGATTGACCGCAACACGCGTCTTGGGTTGCACGAACAAGATCAGATCAAAACTGGATCAAACGGATGCAAACAGATCAAAACGAAATTTTGCTGCCAGACACCTTCCGGCGGCGCGTGAGGGCGCGTGCGGCGTCGGATTCCGGCGACGTCGGCGGCGATGGAAAGCTCTCGTCGAGACGGTCGTCTGGGTATACTGTACGTCTCAATCGGACTTCCGGTTAGTTCTGTAGGTCAAAATCAATTTCGTCTCGGTTTACCTACAGATCTTCTACTGTATTACTCAATACACCCTTCTTCAACTTGTACCAGTGGAGCAACAAGAAGAAGATAAAGCTCGAATGAGATCTAGAGAGAGAGGCGTGTTTCACGTGAGAATGAATTCTATTCTCTTCTCATGAGCTTAATGATGTATATATAGAGCTACAGTAGGGACCCTAAGGAGATTAGGAAAAGGGCTCCTTAATTAATTAGACTAACTGTGGGCCAAACCCACTCCTCTAATTAATTAAATAATATTAATGGGCCACCAACATTATATTATTGCACTCCCTTTCCCTAGCCCAAATTACATTTGAGACTCCAATAATAATTACTCGATTTACCTCCCCACGTTTAAGATATAATGTCCATTAATTAATTCGATTACTGACAATCAAGAATTAATTAATTTATTATTATTTCACCGAAGCTAGCGCTCGTTCATCACATTCTTATTATGCCGGAATTTAATCCACCTGCAGGGTTTAGCATAACAATCCTTCATGAACTCACTCCGGGGACATCATCAAACTAACGCACATGGTGACCGTAAATATCCTAACAGCACATCCTATATATAATAATATTACCCAAAACAGTAGGAATATTAATCCAGCGAACTGAACCTCACCCATGTGAATCAAAGTAATATATATTATATATATCTGCCTGTTTAATATCTTACGGGTTAAGAGAACGCAGTAATTAACCGAGGCCTAGTTCATTTACGACGATCAGTATAAAATGAACTTCTCCTCTCTGGGATCCTGTTCAATACATAAATGTACTAGTGCAACTAATCAGTCAAGACAAACTGTACAGTTGACACTACAACCGTTCGGATGGGGTGTTCATGTCCATCTAGGTTGTGAACAACTATTCTTGTTCGCAAGTGACTGACAGAGTGATCTTCGGTTCGCCCGATGACGACCCACCCTATCTAAGTGCAGAACAACAGAACGTAGAACTTGTTTAATCTAACATGATTCTCATTCATAAAGGGTAAATGTGTAATAACATGCAAAAGCAAGCTTTCAGTATATAACACTAACACCCAAACCCTAGCAAAATCGAAAAAAACTCGGCTCCGTCGACTAGCTTCCGCGGCAATCTTAGCCTCGACTCTTGCCATGCTTGTCCTCGTCATCACCCTCGTCTTCTTTCGTGCCACCACGCCACGGGCCCGCCTGGCCGACGTCGAGCTGACCGGAGCCACCACCGGCGGCGGTCTTCGGCTGACTGGTCGAGTCTCGGTCAGTAATCGAAACTTCGCGCGATACGAGTTCGAGAGTTCTCTTGCCACCATACGGGCAGCTGACGGCATGTATGCTGGTCGGTTCGTGATCCACGATGGGCGGGTTAGGGCACGATCGACGGCTAGGGTTGACGTGGTTGCGGATTTGAGCCGACCGAGCACGGGCAACGGCTCGTCGGATTATTGGGTGGAGTCGAGGTTAAAGGGTAGGGTTAGGGTTTTGAGGGTGTTTAGGAGGAATAGGTTGACCGTGTTGAATTGTACTATGACCGTTGACTTGGCAACAAATGGTGTTAGGAACTTGAGGTGCTACTAGTGATATATGTTAGTACTTTGTGAAATATTAAGGTTAAGGAGTATTTTTACATTTTTTTTTATTTTTTTTTTTTTNTTTTTTGATTTGTTATTGATTTTGTAGAAGATGTGTGTATGTGAAGAGATTGTATTTGATGTCTATAGTATTATTGTTTGGACTTTGGTGGGTTGATGTGTTTATTTTGTTAGTTTTGATTTGTGATTGATTTATGTGGATGGTTGTGTGGAAGAATGTTGTTAGGTAGCTAGTGTAAGACTAAAAAACATTTGTGATGTGATCGCTATAGTTTTTCATTTGGAAAATATGATGAAACGACGTTGTGTTGATTGACAATATTTATGGAAAACTTTGGGTTAATTGTGCTCGTTTAATATATAACTCTTCTCAACTCATTTAACAAATTTAAAATCGATCGTAATCATAAGTTGTTTGCGAATTCACCGCGAACATGCTTGGTTATGTTGTTCGCTCGAAACTTATAAAAATAAGCGAGGCTATTCGCTAATATTCTCGATTTGAATTCTTTAAATATTAAATAAGTTTGATTAGTTGCAAGTAAACTAACAAGCCGGGCTCGAGATTTCATAAGCCAAACAAAACTGTCAAAANATGAATAATTGAATAGACAGTTATGTTAAATTATAACCCATAGTTGGAGATTATTTATATTATATATGTGGACAAACTTCCTATAAAAACCATTAAATGGGGAGAAATTAAGCTGCAATGGTTGATTGTTCTTCAGTCTCCACATCGTTCTCATGAGAGAACCTAACCCAATTGACCAAAGTACAGGGAAGAAATTTACAACCAAATCTAAGTAAGAAAAAAAATCCTTCTGAATAGTATGAAACTGGAAGTTTCCATCTTATCTCCTTTCTAATAATAATAATAATAATAATAATAATAATAATAAATTTGATTCTTCATATTCATTTTTAATTTATATTTCAATCAAATGATTATAACGTGTATAATTGTAATATCATCCTAGACACGTGTCAAATAAGATCCTATATTTAAATTAGATATTTTCGTCTTAGCTTCTATCTATACCCAGAAAATAATTTTTTGTTTCAAAATTTTGTTTCAATTTTTGTTTTGTTGGATAATTGACACATGTATACACTACAAAAAATTGTTATATACCAACGGAAAATTCTATGCTAATATATTCCAATGAAAATTCCAAATTCCAATGGTATAGCATCTGTTGGAAGTTGGAATGTGTTTTTCATTGGAATTTTAGATGAAATTTGATGATTCCAACAGCTATATTTCCAACGTTTTTTACCGTAGGAATTTTCGTTGGAATTTTTATTTCCACCCCAAAAATTTACCGTTGAAATCGTCAAAATCCAACAAAATTCCAATGGAAAACCCATTTCAACGGAATATTTTTGTTGGAATTTCCATTAGAATCAATTGAAAAATTCCAACAGAAATAATAACATTGAAATATCCATTGGAATAGCCGTCAAAATAATTATATTAAAATATATTTCCGTTAGAATTTTATCATTTTCTTATAGTGATAATGATGATATGATCATGAACGCGTGTCAATTAAAATCCTATTTGGACCTTAACCTGGAAATATAATTTATATATTTGAAAATTTTATTCATACAAAATTCATGTGTGCGTCGACCTATTTTATATTTTTTTGGATAAAAATACATATTTTTATTACAAAGTGCCATACAATTTTCATATTGCTTATAAATTATTACATTTAAATTTGAAAGTATGTATCATCGTTGAAAAAATATGGTTAATTGTTTATGTCGGACCAACACACCTTCACTGTTCATTTATTATTAGTAGTATCAAAATCATGCTACATAGCATAATGAATAATGTAAGATTTGATATGATACATACATGACAGGGTTCTATAGTTCTATAAATCACAACACAACAAACTTAAATAAACAACTTATACAAATACAAATCGGTTTTGTTATGAAATCAACAGTTGGCTCCATAATAGAGCCAATCAAAAATATACAGCAATAAGTATATCTACCATATTCTGTTATTAATTTTATCATAACTTGATCAATTACCTACTCACTAGTTTTGACTTTTGTGTGAGGTAGTTGTTCAATGAATGTAAAGTATAATTTTATAAGGGTAGGCATTTTTAAAAGTAATATAAACAATAATTTATATTAATTTATATTATCGTTTTAAAAAAATACAAAACTTGATCGGCTATAAATATATATAATATTGAATATATGATGACTAGATCAACCTTATAGATTTTCATCCTCATAATAGTTTATTGTTACATTGAATTTCATCATCCAGATTCTTCCATTTTACTTATTTTCTTAAAAAACCAACTTCATCATAATTCTTGCCATTTTATTTTTTCTTAATTAAAGACTTATAAGTCCGTCTTCCATCTTTTTCTCCCACTTGGAATTTTGCACAATATTCCCAACTTTTCTCATACGTTTTTCTAATAATAACCATAATTTTTTTTACCTAAATCCTTAAAAAATGTGAACATCAATAAAAAATTCCAAAGTCCACAATGAAAGTCCACCAAACGCGTCCCGCCCGAAANNNNAAAATTCCCACTTAATTAATCAAGAAAACTACACACACTCCCCATTCTATCTTTATAACTTATCATATACTCACTCTTTTCCTACATTTCATCACAACTATTCCAAATAAACACTCAATTTTTATTTCGTTTCATTTTTTTACTCTATATTTTTTTAGTCATCCTCAACCATGTATGAGAAGAAAGAGCAAGTAAAGCCCTTAGCTCCGGTCGCCGCAGCCAACCACCTCGAAATCGAGTCAAATGCCGCCTTGCCGCCGGAGTTCATGACCCGCCGCCGCCAAACATGCATCAAGTTCACCGGCTGCTTATTCGCGGTTTTATCAGTTATAGTCACGATCTTACTCGTGCTCACTTTCACGGTTTTCCACGTTAAGGACCCAATCTTGAACATCGACTACAAAAACTCGAACATCCGAACTCTTGACCGTGGCCTTAACGCGACAGTCGAGGCCGATATCTCGATTAGAAATCCAAATGTAGCATTGTTCAAATTTAGCAACATGACTACGATTGTGTACTATGGTGAGACGATCATTGGCCAAACGGAAGCCATGTTTGGGGAAGTTGGGGCACGAAGGACTCTGAGAATGAATGTCTCAATCGAGCTTAGGTTATTGGAGGTCGATTTGAGTTTCGGGATTTTGTCGATTAGTAGCTATACTCGTGTTGTTGGGAGAGTGAAGATTGGTGGTGGTAATAAGAGGAGTTTAGTGGTTAGAATGAATTGCACAATGAATTTAAATGTAAGTAGCCATAGAGTAGAAGAGTTGAGTTGTAGGAGGAGAGTTTCACTTTAATGTCTCCATTTTTCTTTTTTTCTTTTTTCTTTCCTTTTTTTGGAGGTTTAGAAAAGCTTTGTAATAAGTTACAAGCATGAGGAAAAGATGAGTTATCATGTGAATATGGCAATGGTGTGAACATATGAAGAATGAGCTTCTCATTTTGAAAAGGATGGTTTGGTTTTAGTTCAATGGTACATTGTTGTTTATTGAGAAGTAGTACTTCACTTTGATCCCACTATATATGATAAATAATAGCCATTTATTGAGAAGAACTTCACTTTGATCCCACTTATAAATATGTTGCTAGTTTGGAGGAATTGTATAATGAAAAAGTTAGGTAGATAATAATTGGGGCAGGTTTACTCCTTACTTTCTGGAAAAGAAAAAATGGATCAAAGATGGTGTTTTTGTGGGGGAGACTTGGATAGTTGGGTATAAAAGAATGAAATAGTATAGGGTAGTAATATTCACCGCCTCTCCTATTACTACTTACCGCCCCTCTTGGACAATTTTGCCCCTGTCATTTTTTTCCAAAAAATAAAAAAATAAAAAAAAATAAAAATAAAACCGTCCGGCCGGCGAAACCGGACGGCTTTTAGCCCGGCCGGCCGACCGGTTCGGCCGGCATAAAAGCCGTCTGGTTTCGCCGCTGGACAATTTTTTTTTTTAATAAATTATTATGTTATATATTCAAAATAATTATGTTATCAATTGGATGTTAGATAAATTGGACGTTTGAAATAATTATCTTTTCTAATACATTATAATAATAATTATAAATAATTATGATAATAATTATAATAATTATAAATTAGAAATAATTATAATAATTATAATAACAATTATAAATTATAATAATAATAAGTTGAATAAATTGTAATCAATTATAAATTATAAAAATATTAATAATAATAATTATAATTATAATAATAGTTATAATTATAATAAAAATAATAATTATAATTAATAATAATTATAATAATTGTAATTAATTATAATAATAATAATAATTATAGTTTCTTATAATTTTAATTATAATATTTGTTATAATAATTATAATAATAATTT